AGTTGCTCTTTCCGAATATGATCAGGTGCTTGTCGAATGCGATAATGAAGTAAGTCTTTGTTGTTGTTGTTGTTGTTATGAAGATGGCTGTAAGCATTTAAGGCTTTTTCTGGTGGCTTCCTGTAATTTCTGTAAAAGTTCAGTTTGAATGTAATGAGGAGGGGAGAGAGGGAGGGGGGGGAGAAGGGAGGGGGAACGGGACGGGGCGAGGGAAGGGGTTACAACTCATTTTACCATTAAAATTGTTTGAATTGGCGTTACCGAGATGGCAACGGTCTTGGACAATGAGAGCCCTTCTTTTCTGAATTATCGTCTATAGTGGGCACATTCGTCATGGTAATTGCGCAAGTACAGAAAGTTTTGTAAGAGTTGTGTCTCGGTGACATCGAGAACTCACTGCTGTAATTTGGGTTCTTGATAATTGAGCATCATAGTTAAAAATCAGAACTCCCGCAGTGAAAGGTAGAGGTATTGGGAAGAAGTATCCCGACTAGTAGCAAATATCGGCGGAACTACCTACCGGCAAAACCGTCAGACTGAGAAGACTGTGTGAGCAGCTGTACTTTCATGAAGATATCCGTTGTTTATATGTGAACTCCTATGCGTAAAACTGACATCTGCTGCTGCTGATGGCTGGTTTGATTCTCTCACATATTACTGGAATTAATTTACCGTCGGAACTTGTTTGAACTAATCGTAGAGGGATTGATTGGTTGCCTCATTGGCGGACTGAAAACCTCCGTTTTTCGGTACGAGAGCAGCGGATTACTTGCCACTGCATCATGCGCCCCCCAGTAATAATTGAATCTGTGTAATAGTTGCTGGTTATAAGCACTGAAAATCCACAGCATTCAACCGAATGATTTTGTCGCAATCGTCAACTCCACATATGTCATGCTCATAAAAATGCAACGCTGACAACTGGCTGCTGCTGCTGCTGCTGTGGAATGCCAGAAATGCATGGATCTAGCAAAAAAATCGCGGTGTGTTTTAATGACACTGTGTGATGAGGGGAACAAAATGATGTGCCTTGTAGGTGGGAGGGCAGTGAAATTCTGGTTTGTTTCCTGTGCAATGCAATATTTTTGAGTAGGAAATTTTTTTTGCACTGTCGATCAGAGATCGAATTTTATTGTATCGCAGAGGGAGGGGGTGGCGGTGCAAGGGCCGAGACACTAACTTGAGGAACGGGGGAGGCATAATGGATTATTGTTGCTCCGGTGAATATTATTTCAAATGTATGCAGCAGTAGCAGTAGCAGCAGTAGCAGTAGTAGTAGCAGTAGCAGTAGCAGTAGTAGTGGTAATAATATGAGCGCAATCGACACAACCTACGCAGTTTGAGATATGCGTCGTTTGTGTGTAGTGACGCGCAGTATTAAATCGAAAAATAAAAATTTGAATGAATTAGCGGGAGTGCTTGCGCGCATCAAATGTGTTTGATGAGTGTGTTGTGCCTGAGAAAAATGAAAAAAAAAAAAGAAGTAAAAAACGATTATAAATTCCAACCTACGTAAAACTTGTGAATATTGCGCATATGTTATTATTTCTGTGACAAACAAGCCCCCTGTCCACGCACGTGTGCGCATATGACGCAATGTTTGAGCGCTGAATGAAGCGGAAATATCCATCAAAATGCACTTTTCTCCAACCATGTCATCTGGAATTGAACGGAACAAAAAAAAAAAACAACTCAATATCGACTCATGCAGTAGTTTTTATG